CAGGAAAGTTTTGTTTAACCCCCCCTCCTACGACCGTTCCTTCAGTGTAGAATAGTTATCCATCCCAGTGTATATTATCGCTATATCTACTGTAAACTTTGTCTCCGTTATCAATATCATATTGTGCTATAATTGCATATATGAATCTTAATTTCGCAATTTGTTGTGAAAACGAACTTTTTATCTCTTGACAGCTTTAGGACGATGTTTATTTCCACCTCTACTTCTACAAGTATTCATGTTCTACTTACACATTCACAATGACTGGCCTTCTAGACTATATAGACTTTCCTGGGTTTATCCTTGTTGTTATTCTTATCATTATGATCCCCTCACTTATTATCTATTAATTCATATGCCTGAACTATGATTCTATTAACCACATTGGTTTCACATATATATATGATGCAAATGTGTGGTCAGCCACTGTAGAAATAGTAGTATAGGATTGCTCTCTTGTTGAGGTGCTCTAGCGAGAAGAATGTATCCCATACGCAACGAACGATAAATTAAGTAAGGAGTATAAATCTTTCATAAAAACAACTAATCAAAAACGGATATCCAGTCTCCTACATCAACAAGTCAGGGATTCATGAAACTTGGATATATCAAAGATGCAACTAACTGCAAATCTTAAATTCAAGAGAGATTCATTTAGTGAAGTCTCTTGAAGCCATCTGTGGAGAGCAGTTAGAAGAGCATTTCTCGCTTCACCGATTCACCTCAACTTATAATCACATGTACTCTTTTTCTCCGAAACGTCTCTGACTGCATCACCAGGTAACGTGAGCTCGAATTTCAGAAGAGACATGAGTTCCTTCAAGGCTGCAGATACGCCTTGCTGACTGGTGAGTACCAACTGGGACGAAACCTAGGTTCATGACTCCTTGTTGATTGCCTCCAACCATCTAATATCAACAATTCGAAGTGCATCGTGGTGCCGAGCTACTAAGCATGGTGGGTACATTGCAAACCTGACTGAGAGAATTCAGTCTGCACCAAACTGAGGACTAGACACATTACACTAGTTACGGGTGTCCGATGAAAGACAAGATCCCGCTGTTAATAACTTTAGTGTACATCTATCAGTTCACTTGATCCTGTGGTGTTAAGTATAGAGACAGTATCAGCACGACATTGTTCAGATGCGAACATGAACAATTACTTGAAGGTAGAACAGCTTTCGTTTTCCTGAAAAGATATATAGCAATCTCTGTTTTATGTCGTTGTGTCTTCTGACCGGAAGGTTTATTTACGAGGCTTTCATCTCCCTACTAGGCAACATCTTCAGCGCATACACTTCAATTTGAAGTGAGCTTTTAGATTTCTCCATGCCTTTAAATACCCTCTCTCCTGATGGCCATGAACTAATCACGTTCAGAGTCACCAGGAGTGATAACTAATAAACTTGTGGAGAAATCTAAAAGTTCACTTCAAATTGAAGTGTATGCGTGCTGAAGATGTTGCCTAGTAGGGCAATGAAAAAGCTTCGCAAATAAACCGTCTAGCTCAGAGAACACAACTACATCGAAATCATCCATCTGAGCTACAAATCTTCTCCATCATAAGTAAACTCTATGTTGTTATCCTTCTTTTATTTTTCAAATTGATTTTTCTAAACAACTTTCTATGCTTAGCTGTCTTGTTTCACATCTCAGTCATTTCCAAATGATTAATCATTCTTTAACTGATTAGTTGTCAAGCATCTCGATTACGTGAGATGATATACTATTTTTTATTGACTGACAGTTGATGACATGTTGTTAAATCATTTGAAATATATTTATGTTTCATGGTAGAACTAGTATTTGGATATGTTCCGTCTGATGCACTTCAGAGATTCATTGTAGTCACGAATACAGTGTTAAATCGAAGGACTGTTTTCATCAAGTTTTTATAATATTTCAAAAGGTGACGTCTTTGGTAATCACAAAATAGTGTCTACTTGAACAATGAAATACTCTGTGAAATTTCTGATTTGAAAAAAGTGATTTCGTTACCTTATAATTGTAGAGAACACATCGATATATTTTTTCAACTTATTTGGCTTGACACGAGGGTATTAAAAAACGGTAAAGTGGTAGTAAGGCTTCACTCTTCATCTCATATCTCTCGCAACTATTCATTCAGGATATAACTACAGTTATTTTTCCTTCCCGAGTTTTACAGTATTGGTACATAACTGAAGTGTGCTTACTGTAATCTGAATTCACAGAGAATATCCAACAGTCTCTTTTGGCTAACTAAGATGATTCTGTGTAAGTTTTCCACCTATACGTATTTCCTATCGCATAATTTCCAGGCGCTAATAAGTGTGTAGAATTGAAGACAGCAGATTAGGGCGAATACAACAGAAATTCCTCGACCCCATTACTCCTGTGTAATCCAGGATACGCATTTCTTCCTATCTGGAACTTGTGGGTTGGATGCACCTGATTTTTCAGTGAGTGATAGTGTTTCTACTAGGAGTCGAGCCCTTGACCGATCATATTAAATGACAAAAGACCATCCACCAGGCCACCAGCGCTATGGCAGAGATCTGTTGTGCAACAGGTAACACTTTATTGAAATAAAGCAAAACAAAATGACTCTTGAGAACCTCTTATTGTTTATTTCAGAATTCAGATACATCCGGTTTTAACTGATTACTCTTGGAGGAAGTAGAAAGAATTGAATGGACTCTGAGGGGTCATTCAAATGTGGCCACACGCCATTCGGCTTCTTTACTGTAATCTGACTAGGAAGCGACGAGTTGGTAACTTTTCATAGGATGACATGGAGGAGGCCACGTGAATATCAAATGTAAGCTTGTAGATAATTTTGGAGTCACCTGAGAGTGACAGCGTTTAAACGTTTGGAATGAAAATATCCTGTTGAATCTCTGTGTGCCAATCACAGTGCAAAACATCAGTAATAATGAATGCACTATTTAGTGTCCTTCGATAACCTCGCCAGCATTTATTCATAAGTGCATATAGCCTAAGCCTTCCGAATCTTCCCTAAGGAATAGCTTCCTCTAAAAAAATAAGCACTGAAGAGTCTCTGATCGATACATTATGCTTGATTTCTTCTGTAAACACAGCTGACAAACATTGTGGTGGACATATCGAGGGCTATCAGAGAGACAATGAGATGTTTGAAACATAATGTACTGATTTCAATATATACTTGGTAAATAGCTCCTCGAACAACCGATTTCCCCTTGATGTTTACTTCAGCATGTATATACATGATGTTGTATGCAGTCCTCTAAACACAAGGTCTAGTTTTAGACTAGAATCTATGGTAATGAGTATACTGACCTGTCTGCCTTTTAATTTTTCACTCCGTATCTACATTTTTCTGCATATAAACCAACCGACTCTCTTGATGAAATTACCATAGAGAAAGAAAGTAATGGCAGTATCTCATCCTAGACGTCTTCATGGTAAGGAAAGAAGATGGCACACTAAGAAGGAGTGTGTATAGGAAGCCTACAACAACAGGTCAGTACACTCATTTTCTGAGTTTTGTACCTCTGAAATATAAACGTAACCTAGTGAAGTGTCTGGCTCATAGAGCTAGGTTAATCTGTTCAGACGAATGTCTCAATGATGAGCTTAAGATTATTAGAGAATTACTTAGAAGAAATGGTTGTCCAGATAAATTCATTGAGAAAAATATGAATTCAACTCCAAGAAGAGTCAGTACGGCCACAGTCCCGAAAAAACCAATGTTCATAAAATCGCAGTTTCTCGTTGACAACATCAGCGAATTAATAACACAGCGCCTGAAGTATGCAGTTAAAGGAACTTATTATGCAGCAGAGGTACGTTGTCTCTTTACAACCACACCTATTTTATGTTCGAGAAATATGGATAAACTACCTAAATTCGCCTCCTCTATGTGTATCTACCAGTTTGACTGCAGCTGCAGAGCCAGCTACATTGGGCGTACAATTAGCAGGTTCATCGTCGTATTTCCGAACATCATCCAGTATGGGTAAGTAAGGGACAAAAAAGATCTATTCGTAGCTCTATTTTAGCCCACCTCGTTGATACTAAGCATACGATTGATGTGAATACAGCATTTAAAATTATTTATCGCATTCCGATTTATCTTAATTTTGCTCTGCGAGTTCGTCTTCTACAGATGGCTGAGGCGATTGGCATTCACCTGAAGAAACCAAGCCTATGTGTACAGAAAAAATTTGTACAGCCACTTTCCCTACCGTGGCCATCGTCACAAGAATGGATAAACAGGACTGCGTCGTCCGCCTCCCCCTGAACCTATAAAATTATATTTGTCTAAATTAATTATTTTATTTATTTTGACTACTTCATCTTTAATTACGTGTTATCCTTGTAAAATTAATTTATTCTAACCATTTCTACCTTTTAAATCTGTATTGATTTTCTTCGTTAACTATTAACCCATTGACATTTTGACACTGTTTAATTATTGTTAATAAAATTGTCGCTACTTGATTGGCAAACTGTTGTATTGTAATTAAAATGCTACATATATTAGAGTAGAGCCAGAGATGAGGATCTAATTGAATAGAAATTAAAAGCATCTATGAGAAGTAATACGCTATTTAGACGTCTATTTTTCCCACAAAAACAGACGTACGCGCACACACACACAGATTCCTACAGACGTAAACTTCATACTGGATGAATACCAGTAATAATAATAATACTGCGCACAAAATAAACAACCACACGTAACAATAACAGGAATGACCACCGGTTTTCCCTTGTTTCTCAAATCCAACATAAACAAAAACACTGAGTAGTAGGTGGCTAGTTACTTTGGGAAGTAAATAAATAATTAGAAATTAAAAAAACTTTCAGTTTATTTATAACAATAATAATAATTATTATAAATATATGAATATATTTCAGATTTGTAGGTGGTAGGTGGTCTACAGTCAGAGATATCTAAGAGTAAAAATGTGGATTATATTACCATATATATATATATATATATTATATATATATATATATATATATATATATATATATATAGGCATATATATATATGTAAGTACATACGCGTATGAAAAATACAGTTTTATTTTACACACATGCAGAAGTAGGTATCTGTCCAATTTTAGAATTGTGTACACATTTCCTGCAATGAATAGTATTCATGTAAAGACGGCTTAACAATAAAGTAATTTTTTGAAAGCTTTTCTAAATTCCACATTAAATATTGTATAAATAATTGGATTAAGAAATGAATTCACATAACCAAGCCATATACTTATACTATTTACATAATCTGGCATATGACATAATGAGGATTGTTTCAGAGATTCATGTTTAAAACAGAATGCATGAATAATATTCACTGTGAAAAATGGCATCCAACAGACAAGAAATACACCTAGAACAGAAGCAAAAAAGGGAGAAAAAGGAATTACATGGTATTAGATAACACTGGACATATATACATACGTTATAAATTAGTACTGACATACACTTACGGCTGTGACAATAATTGATGATACAAAAAAGCGGAACAGTTTTGTTCCTTGTAGTGATTGAATGGAATCATGAATGAATGGTTAAAGGTTTGATCGCTAGCTGACATCACTTAGAGATACTGCACAGCAGTTTCATCATATCTGAGGCTCGTCAACTGTACACATTCATCGGGCTCGAACTCAAGACAGTCTGGTTACACAGTGAGCTTGCAGACCATTCAATCACTGAGACCTGATTCATTATTCATGAATTCCAATCTCTGCCAATTAGGTATACGTGTGGCGCTATTATCAGCTGATATCATAGGCTACCTCACTTAGTAGACTGCGCTAGTTATGACGTCTCCATGGTACCCGAGGTAACTGCCTATATGGAGCGGTCCGCTAGTGAGCATCAAGTTGGCGATTGCTCAATACAGGCCTTGAAATTTCAAAAGCTGGAATTTATGTGTCATTGGATTGGGTTCCAGAATCTGAATAGTGTTCGACCTCGCCTCAGTGTGTGTTTGGTCCATTTAGATTTCATTGTACATATTTTCTGGACGACAAAATCCGTGGTTCTTTCGTTTCCATAGTTCTTTCTTGATCATGTATCCTAGATGGTCATGTGGTCTCCAGTATGAAGCCATGCCGACTGTTGATGAAACCTTGTAGTAGCCTTTTCGAAAGACTTTATATGACACATGCGCTAAGCCTTTGTATCATATCGAAACACTGCTTGGCTTAAAAGTATCGTTAAAATTCCTTATGTTGAGTACAGCAGATTTCTATAATATATATATTTCCTAGTGGGCCCCTTTGATCACGATTTCTAACTAGAGGGCAATGTAACTTCTTACATACAACCAGCCGCTATTGAGCATAAGAATAAATATCAGGTGTTGGTTCGCCAGAATTTGATTGGCTACAAGTTTGATCCTTGCATAGCGTCACCTGACGATGAAAATTAATTTACTGCTTCTTTCCTTTTAACAAAATACAAACAAGTCAATTTTTATATATCGTCAAACAGTCGTAATAAGAATGCCTTGTTAGAAGGTAAAGTTCCAAATATTTAGATCATTCAAGGTTTGATAACGGTTTCTTATTAGTTTGAGAACCATTGAAAACTAAAGGGAACTAGAAAAACTCTCCCTCGTTGTTTGTAACTCCTCACCAGCACCCACTCATGATCATTTGAGTTCACCAGGTCAGGTGTCTGGATAAATAACCATTGATGACTGTCGTCTGTGATGTAGCAAAAACTCAAGACTGACAGAAGTTAGAACTCATAAGTCATAGGATCCTCTCCTATTTGCCAACCAGGAAACTAACCGAATTCCTGAAAACTAACACCTAAAAATGTTGATAATTTGACTGATAACAAGTATCCAGTGGATGAAAAATGAATGTTCTCGCTTCATAACCTAAAGATTTTGGATTTTACCCTCCAATGGATGATACGTGTGAGTTGATGAAGAGGCTGAAATTAGTATGAAACGGCTGTCAAGTTCTCCGTTGTTTGATTTCTGTCGTAATCCATCGGTTAGGATTCCTGATTATCACTCAGAGGAAAGCAAATTTTGCGCTAGTAGTTCAGTGGTAGGATGCTAACCAACAACTCAGAGAGTCTGCATATGATTCCGAAATGTCACACTTCTAAACCTCCCTGATTCGCTAGGAGATAGTGTGTTCCGAAAAACAAGAAGGTTTAGCGTGATACTAGTAATACCACTGTCACTTGAAACTCTTGAAGCCTTCTGTTTTATTCTAAATGCAAAGAAGTTACTGGCTTTTGACCAGTAAAACGGACTCATCACTTTACAAGTAAAGGAAAGAATATTAACTTTCTTTGATTGTCTTCAAAGTCCGTTCAACAGTATAGCGCATAGTCATCTATTACTATGTAGTAGGGTTGTATGACATAAATGATACGATTACTATGAAGTTATTTCCATGCAAAGAAAAAAGTGTGCAATAATCACATATACAATGGAGATATGGATCTGAAGGTGAATGAGGCGAAAATCGTCACTAGAAAAAACGCAGTATGGTAGACTGCCTACTTGTCAAGTACAGAGAAGGGGGGGACGAACTACTGATAGTGGTTAAGTGTACAAAAGAGACATGTAGGATTAATCAGAGTGATTTCATCACAGAAGATAGAAGTAAACACTTAGAAAGGAGCTTAAAACTATTGTAGAATAAGAGAGTGAAGTAACCGTTCCACTTGTTTGCTCTACTTTTCACTGAGTAATTCACTATTGTCTTTCTTACATCTTCCTATAACTAGCTTTTTTTCCTTTTACTTGCTTTATATATTTCAATTGGGCACTCAGTCGACTTGGCCTTTCATTCAGAATAAATTTTTAACCTATTGAATATTAAACTCTTACTTTTTTTTATTTCTTTAATAATTGCTCAGTCCTTTTTCGTCACTTCTCAAAAATCACTTGTGATTTTTCATCACTCCTAATAACTCCTAATTTCTGGATAACCACGTCTATTGATTGGACACTTGTTAGCAACTAATGTAATGTGTCTAGATCTTGTTTTGTGCAGACTGAATTCTGCCGGTCAAGTTTGCAATGTGACTACCATTCTAGGTGGCTTACTATCATGGTGAAATGTGAACTATTGATATTAGATGGTTGAAGGCAATCGGCAGGAAGCTTTAGACTTATGCTACGTGCTAGTTAGCGCTCATCAACAAGGTGTATATGCAACCTTGAAGGGAATTATATTCCTACTGAGATTTGAACCCGTGTTACCCAGCTTCGCAGTCAGAGACGTTACCACTTCGCCAATTAACACGAAACCTAGTTCCAAGGCTCCCTGACGATTACTTTCAACCATCTAATATCAACGATAACTACGTCTATTGTTTCATTTCGCTGTATGCCATGTTAACATAAATAGTCAGAAGTTTTACGTGTTAGGCTATGAGATATATTCTGTAGTAACATTAAGGTATTGAGAATTTTTTGTTTGACCGTTTGTTTCAATCCAGAGTTGACTAGATGGAAAAGTGATATTTCTCACTCATTTTTCATCATTCCTAAGTAATTCATTTTCAGAAGGTCAGAGAACTTGTGCAGTAATGTTAGGCGAACTGCGCAAAAAAGATTCCACACTAATGTAGATTGGCTAAGTACAAACTGGTGGATAAGTTTTTACTGATGCTCTTCCCTTGAAATATTGTAATATATACAGAAAATGGCACACTGTATCAGAAGTATTGTTTGGGATGACACCATTGTTTTAAAACTATTATTATTCTTTTGGCTCCCAAGTGGACATAAAGCTTTGATGGCACATCTGCATTTCATCTAGTTCTCTGTAGACCTCTTTTGATGGCTTAACAATAATCCATTAGCTTTCATCCCCTTCTCACACGATCTCCTCCAAGTTATCCTTGGTCCTATGCTCAACTCATCGTTTACCATTCACGTTCCACTGGAGAACGTGGTGCCCAAAGTCACTCAGAGGTCTGATCAACGTGTATCCCATCTGTTTGAATTTCTCTAGAGGTATTCATTGATTTTGGTTAGTTGTCAATCGTTTCTGTCTATCTGGTTATTAGTATGAAGCCAGCGAGCGCAGCTGTCGATGAAAGTTTTTAGCCTGATAGTTATACTTTCAGTGACTCCGCCGCCAAGCTTCTTAACCCTTTAGTTTTAAAAACCCGAATCTTATTTTTCATACCTAGTGAAGTAGATTTCCACACCGATATCAAAGTAATGAAGGTCAACTTTACCTTTCCGATTCTGAGAGGCTTTGACATCTTCATTAATAGGCTTTATTTCTGTACTTTAATGTTCATATTTAAGGTCCATTTCCATTTATGGAATAGATGTCTAACCGTAAAGTGTTTTAGAAAACCGAGTGATGTCATTATTTTGGAAGTTTTCAGTAATGGCAAAAAATAGGCAGAATTTGATAAACACAGAAGATTGAGTTTATCTGGAGCTTATTATACGAGAAGGTGTTCATCGGTCGACCGACCAGTTTCAACTACACAGTGTGCGTCGGTGGCACAGTGGTTAGGACTCTCGCCGACCATGCACATGGTCCGGGGTTCGAGCCCGCACCGACGCACATCTGATATCTATGGTCGGCCTGCAAAATTTGGGCTACCGATATCCATGCTGAAAATTCCATACTTGTACCGAAAATACAGTGTGGAGTCAAGCTGTAAATCAAAAATCAAATCAAAATCAAATCTATACAGCAGGTAGCAGGAATATTGAAAATTTCTAAACTTGTTTGTGTAAAGCATGTTTTACTTAGTGAACCATTAATCGAAAATTCTCAGCATGCATCACTAGACCGTTTTGTAAATTACACTCCCAGTGAATACTCTTTCACCAAATTATTATTCGCTTGGAATCCAAGTGGAATATAGAGCTTCAACAACATATCCTGACTTTCTTCTATTTTCTGCCGTCCTCTTCCGTCAGGTCCATGATTGTCCATTATCTCGCCTCTCCTCCTCTCAGGATCTCCTCCATGTCACCCTTGCTGTAACGACTCACTCATCGCTTCCCATTAAGATTACACTTGAGTGGTGGCCTGCATTGAGCACGATAGCATTCGACGGCTTCCTCAATGTATGCCTGATCCACCTCCATTTTCTCCTACATATTTGTTGGGTGATAAATTCTTGGTCAGTTTGTTGCCAGAGTTGATTGTTGTTTATTTTTTTGTCACCAACAATCTAATCTTCAATATGGAGTAAGTGAAGATGACTGTGGATAAAAGTATGTAACTTGTGGAAAATGTTTTTCATGACATGCAGTACAAGTTTCTGACCCATGTAGAAGGACTGACAGACATTATATTTGTGTTGAATATCCGAATCTTGTTCTTTATGTTGAGGAGAGCAGAAGATTTCTTAACTGATTTCAGATTGATAAAGGTGAACAAAATCCCTACAAAATCAATACTTGAAAAGGTGAATCTTGCCTATTCGAAGATTTTCTAGCTTTGACATCTTCTGTTCCGCCTGAGGTTGAAACAATGCTTTCTAGATAGGTAATGGAAGTAAGCTTTTGTTACATCCCTCCATTTGATAGTGTTTGGTGCTGGTTGTTGTTATTGTTGTCGTTGTTGGTTGATTATCCTCATCACCGCCATCTTCGCTATGTTTACCTGCAGTCCTGTCTTTGATTCCAGCCTATTCTGTCAGTTTTTTTGGTTTTCGTCTGCAAATCTTCGAGATTTTGTGACATTAGATATACATCATCTGCAACATTTATATCTTCTAGCGTCTTCTTATCGGTGGTCCAGCGTTTTCCTGTCTTCTAGATCCCCACGCGTAGTCCAATGTATAATTCAGTTCACCACAATCAAGAATATCATCGGTGATAATAGACAGGCAGCCTTATCTTACTGTTGCATTGACTTCAGACACATATCTCGCTGAGTTTTCTGTTGTAGATCCCCTGGCACGTGGCATTGTCATACAGCGAGTTGTTGAATGAGGTTGATAAAGACTTGAGCACTGCACACCGTAATGCTGAAGTAGTTTCCAAATTACTTCTCTGCCAACGTAGTCTGGTGAAGGCTTATTCGGTGTGGATGAAGTTGAGGTAGAGGGAGGGGTTCGGCTGCTACGCTCTGCTTAAGTCGATGATGATGCGTAGAGTTACAATTTGATCAGCAGATGACTCGCTAACCTATTCTGGATTAAACTTGTTCTTGTCGGTAGGTGAGGGACGGAGTTCTGTATGCAGTGCATCTTTTGTTCTCTCTTGAATGGTGCGACTTATTATTTCACTTCATCCCATAGAATGTCACATAACTGAATAGTCTACTGTTAGCACTGATTTTTTTCACTGATTAATTTTAATTATTATTTTAAATATGCCCTCAAGATACTGATTAGCTTATTCGATAATAGAAAAAGGCATAAACGAAATATGAAATAAGCTAAAAGATATGAACTTTGCTTGTTTTGTGTTCTTCTTTTCTTAAGGATTATTATTGTTGTTATTTTGTTATATGAATATTCTCTTTTGTTTGATAAAAGTGAAATAAGCATTGGTTATGAAGTAGGATCATTTTGCATGAACTTTTTTTATAACAAACTGTGGAGATGTATGGGTAAGCAAAACAGGATGACTTGAAATTGATTTGTTTATCTGAGATGAGACTTTATTTAATTAATTGCATAAATAAATACATAAATAAATATCTTTTTCATCTTATTTCATGAAAATATAGAGGATGACAGAGACAGACAGAGGGAAATGAACAACAATAATGATCTATCTTTTCATTAAAAAGTGAGCTAAGACAATTTGAAGAAGATTAATAGTGATCTCAGGTAAATGAATAATTTGGTATAGCTAAATTTACAGTTATCATTATGTAACCAAAAGGAATAAGACGAATTCGACTACAGATTGATGTCAGCAAGAGAAACATGAAAAACAGTGACAGAGTACTGAACGGCTGTTTCGTCCTAGTTTAGGACTTCTTGGTAATACATACCAACAGGGGTTTGAGCGCAGGACTTTACGGGCACAAGACGCGCTCGTAGACCATTCAGCCACCGGGAAGGAATGCAACTCTAGCTTTGAGTCATAAAGTAAAACGAAATAGTTGTTCAGTACTCCTTAAGGTTTTTACAATGTTTGACTAAGTGATATCAATCCCTTGGCAGACTTCAGAGAAATTAAATTCCTGCCAACAAACTCCTTAAAATAAGAAGGATGTTGAAAATTACACAAATGTTGAATGATTTAACAGCTGGTTTCTTAGCATCAAATGTAGAGCTTTGAGTAGTACAGATTCCGGTGAGAACATTATTTCATTGCACACCAAATTTATTATGTTTAGGTGAAGTTGCTACACTTCATCAAGCACACAAAAAGGTGGAGAATAAAGGAAACACGCGTCGACCCAATGTCACTCATCACATCATGACAATAAATGAGGGAGATAGGATAAAAACAGTCACGGCCGAAGGCGGCTAGCCTTGTAGATATTTGTAAATCCATACAGAATGACAAGATAACTACTTTGAATACTCATAAGATGAAATCATTATCAACTATTGGCTTTGTAGTGTTTTTGTTTGATTCGATGGAGAGTTTGATCTGATCTCTATTGATCTAATGCCCACTAGCGACTGGATCTATTCAGGAACCTATATGGGCTTCTAGCGGGAAGCTGTGATCAGTAGAGTACAGTAGGCTAAAGATGAGGCAGTAACTCATCGAAGAAGACATTTCGAAGTTGTCGCGCTATTTCATGAATCGAAAGAAGCTAGAATTCATGGGCTGGGCGTTGGATTGGGCCCCAGTGACTTTTGATGCATTTGATGCTTATATTAGAAAGTGTTTAACGTCACTTTTTATATTAGTGAAGTCTGAGGTAATTTGAAAAGAAATCACTTGTATATGCATATAAAGTGACCAGACCTAAGTTAAAAGTTAAAAAAGTGTATATTTTGGTGGGATTTCGCACATCATTCTGCCCTTCTTTATATGCCATGTAGTTTAAGGGAGCATTAGAATATCTTAACTTCTAACGTCTTCTGTAGTAAACATTATAATGTTTTAAGATGAGCTTTTGTCAACTGGGCTAATGTGAAGTAATCCGACGGTCCACCGATTTCAAATTCCATCAGTTGGCGATATATAGTACAATCTCCAACCACTGTCAGTGATGAGTCATAAGTTTCCACTAGAAGTTTAGGAAACGTAATTTTGTAGTCAGTTATTATGGAGTATCAGTTCTCAAGTCAACAAGCTCACCTAGTAGCCTGGAGATCAAGGGCACATGTGGCTTCTGAATCCTAGACAAGGAAAAAATAGCTGCCTAGTACTGCCTTGTTTTCAGTAGTTCACTAACTTCGTCTGTTACTGATCAAACTGGCAATCGATCGAATCTGTGATAATGAACGCGACAAGAAATCAAAACGTTGTTAAATTCACTAATCTTTCTCTATTCTTCCACGTTTTTGGCATGTTTTTGTCCTAAACATTGATGATTTCATAACATACTATTTCTGAAACATCAGTGACTATCGACCGAAGAAGTCTGAAAGAAGTAACTTCCTTCCTTCACAACCACTATAGACAGCGCAAATGACGGCATCAAATCCCTAATTGGAAAGGCGAGACAAATTTTTATCACTCTGAAATCATTTTTGAAATTTTTAGCATGCCAACCTAAAGAACTTAATTCAAATTTTCTACACCCATGTGCAGTCAGTCAGTTCTTATAAATGGGTCGGAAACTTAGCGTATCAGGAAGAGTGTTTCCAGTAGCCTGTTGAAGACGTTTATCAACCGGAAAATGGTCAGGAAGAATTGGCAACATTAAACAATGTGGACGAACCTATCAAGTGTTTACTGCTTAACAAATATGTCCAAGAAAATGGACATACACTAAGGAGAACATCAGGTGAAATCGCGCACCATACTCTTCAAAGGAATTTGAATAGGGAATGACAAGTCGGTCGTGGCCCCGAGGAAATAGTGTGAAGTGTAGATACAAGCTTACGGGCAGTTGTGGAGGAAGCAAAAGAGGTCTACAGAGAACGGGAGATAATGGTGATGTGTTGTTGTAGCCAGATGTTCCACTCCAATCCCAAAGGAATAATAATAATGATAAAATTATAATAACAATAACACAAACTATATATAATCATTGTGAATTAATTAAATAATACACAAAGTCTTCCAAACAGTAGTTACTTACCTAGAACAATTGCCAGTGTTTTGGTAGCTTTTCTTTCACGTTTAGCAGCAACACTATCTCTTAATGTCATATTATTTCCACATCTATTTGTAAATGAATAAGTAAAATTTATGATACTGCCAGCTGAACCAATTTCACTATGTGATGCTTCTCTTTCTTTGTACCGAGGCTTAATATGTCTGCTTCTAGAAATATATTTGGATTTTCTCAATGGATGTTCATCATTTATTTTTTCTGGGAATGATTTTGATAAATCACAAGAGACTAAAGATTTTAAACGTTGAAATTTTCTACCATATGTAGAAGAAAATGATAATAATCTACTCTTGGATGATTTTTTTGATATATTATTTGTATTTAATGCATACACCTGCTTACTTGACAATCCTGTAAAGGTATGTGCTGTTATTAAAGACAGACTACTGCGTTTGGCCTGTTTTATACGATTTTTTAAATGTTTCCGAAAATCTTCCATATTTCTAAATTCTGTTTGTGATGTTTGTTTGTTATTGATTTGTTGATTTGTTGTTTCAGCAGTTGAATTTCTTCCTGAAGGTTTTATTGTTGAATCAGTTGATGGGGTGTGCATATCACAGGAGTTAACAACACAATCAGAATTAACTATTATAAGTGTAGGTTGTGGTTTATCAGTATTACCGTTATTATTATTATCATGATTCATTTCTTCACATTCAGGTAAATCCATGCCTATTTTCGTTGATGAGGATGGTGAGGCATTACTCGAAGCGATTGTAGAGTCAGCTTTATCCACCTGGATTACATCATTCACGTCGTTTTCCGTGGCAATATGATGATTTTCTGTACAAAAGGATAAATTTGTAATCCGGCTAGAGTCAGCATATGAACCGATACCACTGGATTGACAGTCAAATGCTTGAGGATTAATTACAGTTAAGTATGTCATTGTTTCGGGTGCAGAACTCGGATGTATTAGCCTACCACTTGTTTCTACAACTGATTTATGATTTGTATTTTTATGATTTTTAACATAACTTTGGGCTTGATTTCTAATACTTATAAGTTCTGATCGTTTAGTTCTTGATCGAATTGCTTTAAATACTTGATAATATAGAACAATCATAATTGTACACGGTACATAAAAAGAACCAATTGATGAGGCAATTATATATTCTGGAATATACATAACGCATACTTCTAAATTTCGATAAGGCGCATTATTTAATCCACATGCTATGGGTAATGCTATTAGAAAGGATAATAACCACGTCATAGCTATAGTAATCCCCACACGGATATTTTTGCTGTGTTGAGCATAAGTTATTGGTCTAGTCACTGCCACATATCTGAAAAATAAAATATGGGAATAGATTTATTCTATTTTAACTGGAAATATTGTCTTATTAACAATGAATGCGGATTTATCGGTTATACTCAATGAGAAAGTAAGATAATGTCAAAGACGGATTTTATTAGTAAGTTATCTGATTCACTGTTATTCTTTTAGGTCTTGAGTGGAACATACAGCTCCGGCGGCAAGTCTCCATTACATCCTGTTATCTGCGATCCTCTTTATCAAGCTCCATGATTGTCCGTATGCTGTCATCTCCTTCTCACACGATCTCCTCCATATCACCATCAAAAGTGATATAAGATTATAATTTGAGCTTAAATAATCAAGATTGGCATCTAATAAACAAATATTTAATGAGTTATAATGTACCATCGTCATTCCTTTTGGTGCAATGCTCGACAACCATGTAAGTGGTTCGGGTTCCATTCGCCGCCAATTCACTCCTCAATCTAATCAGTTTCACTAGTCGGTGTGAGGCTGGCAAAACCAACCAACACCGCCACTGTTGTAACGTCAAATCTTCAAGTTCCGCTCAAAATGTAACAGAATGTAAGAAGAAATGTTCCAATTAAATAAGTCATATAATATCTGCTTTTTAACCACAATCGAAATGTTTATTTGGTTCAAGAAATCCTGTAACATCCTTCCTTAATACTTTACCAAACCATTTCAGTAAATAACTATTATAGAGCCCGAAACATTCTCTATTAACGATATTCTTCAACACTTCTTTGTAGACAAATGCTGACGAAACTTATGCCATTCACGTCTCCTATCATGGTGGTTGCTTTTCAAAAATAATTTCTGAAGTTCAGATAGCAGTAAGAACTAGGCAACATGCAGTTGTTTATTCCTATGAAACTAATCAATACATTTTAGAATAGTAATTGGTACTAACTCTTTTTGAGAGGTTGTAGAATGCCTTTAACGTTGTAGATAACTTTGAAAGAAACGTCTGTTGAGACGTATACTAGCCAGTATTGATGGGGTATACATTTATCACACTCCTAATCGTAAGGTTCTACTACCCTTCTGTAAATATGGAAGAGATAGTATTCTTCGATCCACTCTAGATGACATACACATCAAACGACCTAAATACTAACTCTACAGGAGTAGGTGAACTGCGGTATGTGCAGAGGGCTGAACGACAAGATCACGTATCTGACCACTCTTACGTGTATGAATATATCCTGATTACAGTTCATTCTCATCCTTATCCGAATCCTCTTATGTATTATCCTCTCTACCAGAGTGGTTGTTCTTTTTCATTATATGATGGAGTGGGTATAATTCTTTTGGGGAATTTCATCCTATTACAGTGCTCAAGTTATATTTTTTTATCTTAATGCAACAAATTATTCTCTCATGCATTAGTATGACACAACAGTTAGGAGAGAAATATATGTGGTGATTACAATTTCTTAGATTATCATCACGAACCAACATAAGTTACAGAGATCACTGAAAAACAAATCGGATCACTGGATGTCTATTTCATCCCATTTTGGAACTCCTCAACAATGTGCACACACAATACCACACACAGGGATCAAAATCGAGACATCATGACTATGAGATCAAGCTGGTTGACTATTCAGCCCCTTGGACTGAAATTCACTGACCACTGAATCTACAAACTTAGCTCTACCCTCTTTAATGCCTTCAGTGTGAATCTACTTCATCTCAATATGGTGGACCACACAGGTCATGATTTCTCAGTGCAGCCAGAGGAAATCCATCTATCCATTAACCATCAGTTTGTCCAGCGATCCACAACGGAAAACTCAGCGATGCGTTTGGAGTAAACACAGGGGTCAAACAAGGGTGCTTATTATCACCAATGATATTCCTAATTGTGGTGAAGTGGATTATGCGTCAGACAGTGCGAAACGAGAAGACAGCGATATCCTGGACCGACGCGAAGAACCTAGAAGACCTGGATTTCGCGCGTGGACGATTTATGCTTGATGTCACACAAAATTGGAGACTTACAAGAGAAAACCGACAAATTGATCGAAGCAGCAGCAAAGACAGGACTCAGGTGAACATAGACAAGATGGAGGTTATGAAAATAACCAACCAATATCAACAACAGCAGCAGCAACAGCCAGCGCCAATCACCATCAATGGGAGGGATTTGAAAGAGGTCACTTCATTCACCACTTATCTAGGTAGGGGGCATTGTCTCAACTACAGCCAGTCGGAACGGACGAGGATGTCAAATCGAGCGAGAATCACGAAAGCGAGAAACACATTTATCAACCTAAAATCAATCTTGAAATCTTCGTCACTCAGCATCAACAACAAAATTCGGTCGGATCTTCAATACAAACGTCAAGTCAGTCAGTTCTTCTATACGGATCAAAAACTTGTCAGGTGGGTCACAAAGCATACCCCCAACAGCATGTTGCAGACCTTCATAAACAACTGTCTTCTCTGGCTCTATACTGAAGATCAGATGGCCGGCCGGAAAGAATCACCGACAAGAAACTATGTGAAGGAACGGACAAAACAAGAAGCGATCGCCAACCAACAAATATGCAGGAGAAATTGGAGATAGATTGGACACTCGCTCGCTGAGGAGGCGGCTGGGTGACGTCGCGCGCGCGTCAGGTCATTCCTCGAGTTGAACCAGGCCAAAAGGGAAGCGGCGAGTGGGACGTCAATGCGAGGGTGGCATGGAGGAGATCGTATGAAGAGGAGTTGAAACAGTGTGGACTAACATGGTTGGATATGAAAATTACAGCAGTAGGAAGACAGAAGCAAGTGGAGACTTGCAGCTGAAGCCCTATGTTCCACTAGGAACCCAAGGGAATAATAATAAATAACCATCAGTCAGCTGGTGATCGATATTCAGATGATAGGATTTCCTAGGATTTCAGAATAATTGAGGTTGTGAGGACATTACTGAGATAGAGTTGATAAAGTTAAAATCCACATTAAATGTGATTGAATGGTCACTCATCTTGGTCTCTCAACTCGAAGTTCCTGAATTTGATACCTGAGTGTGAGGTGGTAGGCATGAGGTCCTGAAGGGTCTCAGAATAGGATGCAATAGGTGTCCAGTGCTACTATTTGGTTTTAGGAATCTCCATAATTGATGTTGCTTATTGATAAAAATCTAATCATTGAAGTCTATCGTATAATCTAAGTATTTATTGAAAAAGGTAAACTCATACAACTGCCATAGAAGGCTTTTAAAAGATCATATAGGCTATTGATTAAGGGCGTGTATTTACACAGATTATATTCATAAAAATATGACCTTATTCAAACAAAATCACTATTACTGAATAGATGAAATTTGAGTTAGTTAACCTAATGAGGATGAAAAAAATACACCTCTTTGTTTCTGTGTTTTTTGGTTTACAAATAATCTAAATGTATCATAATTAGGTCAAATGACAAGTGATCTAGTTGAATGTACTTTCTCTCTCTCTCTCCCTAGTTTTCTAGACTGTGGTTAATATCATTAAGCTATTAGCATTAAACAGCGAAACGTCAGTAAACACAATATCGTTTTGTTTTTCATTCATTGGGAAATACAAAAATCTTTATTATAATGCAGTTACTATCATTTAAAAAAATACACTCTTTATTCTAAAATCGCTAGTATCCATTTTTTAATTTTTAATTTTAATTTTTGATTACAGCTTGATTTCACACCGTATTTTCGGTACAAGTATGGAATTTTCAGCATGGATATCGGTAGCCCAAATTTCGCAGTCCGACCATAGATATCAGATGTGCGCCGATGTGAGCTCGAACCCCGGACCATGTGCATGGTCGGCGAGAATCCTAACCACTGTGCCACCGACGCACAATTTGATGATGGAATGAAGAGTGAATGCATACTTCTTAATGTAATTTCAGTTAACAGACCAAAATTAGGCTGTTAATTAATTTAATCAATAATATTTTAGAGATTTTCCTTATTTTTGCTTTTTAAATTTCAAGATATATATTTCGTTTACCATGTTTAACGAAATAGCTGACTAGTTATAGAGATGAAAAGAACCCTTATGGAAGTTTGCTTTATCTGGTGGCTTGTTCTGTGCGTCGGTGGAACAGGGGTAGTATGCCCGACAACCACGCAGGTGGTTTGAGGTTTGATCCCCCAACCAATGACGAACTCCTTTACCTCTCTAAGGCAGTAGTTATACTGGTTGGGCATTAGGCTAGCAACCCCATCCCGTAAACGTGAACACCACTGCTATCGAAATTTCCAAGCTCTAGCCTAAAGCCCTATGTCTCATTGGGAACGTAAAACTAAAATCAACAGTATGATATTTATTAGCACTTAGTTTAAAACCATTTGAATGTGACCTTGGTTATTGCCATATATGGAACTATTCAAATCAAAACAATCTAATGCGGAAACTAATAGGATAGGAACTGCCAGTTAATTCAATGAAATTAGCTTGAGATAAATACGGTGTATCATGCAGAATCAGAGGAAAAATAAATGGAGAAAGTACAGCACCTTGCGGTTCACCACGTTCCGTAAACAAAGATGTCGAGCTTTGTGAATTGATAACATTATATTACTTCCTACCTGAAAAGAAGGGAGGCAATCACTTTGTGATGCATGAGGCTCTGTGGGTGCGGAAGTCAACTTGCTTAGTAGCGGAGTTTAAAGAACCTCCGAAAATGAGAATTTCAATGTACGATTTTGTACATCAGTTGCTATTCTGTAATCAAGTAGTCCTGAGTTCTACTATTGCAGTCTAAGTAGGACATTTAGGACAGTTGTGTATGTTCTAGGGAAAAATGAAATATTACGAGCATTAGTAAATAAAACAATCGTGAGAATCGTAACCTATAGACGAATGTTTTCAAAGATAAAATTTGTAATCTCCGAACCACTGAAGTTTATGAAAAGATTACTTTCTTGTAAGTCTTTACATCGGTTTCTCACGTATGATTTGTCAAGTTATTGTCCATTTATGTAATCCAGTTGAAAACGGCAGATTCGAAGAAGTCAAGTTATTTATTTACCTAACAGTCGAATGAATGAATGCGGGTGAGTAGCCACAAGATTTGAAAACGGAGGTTTTCAGCTGACGCAACATGAGGTTATGTGATTGTGGTGGAATAACCTGGTTAATTTATGGGTCTTGCAGCTTGCATGGTACAATGCTTAAAGGAACAAGTGTCTGGAAAATACCTCCTGAACTATGTAGTTACAATATCACTGCTTATTCAGACATTCCAGCTAACTTTGTAATTATTATCCGGTTTTTCTCTTAGACTGTTCTTCATTCTTCTGACGTTCGCATATCGCTATGGACTTGATCCTTATTAGTTACCTTTATGTCCGTTTAACCTCTAATTTCAATGCTTCTTTTTTTGGCTGCGTAAGGATTTTGATAATATGTTGTTTTACAATTGCTACTATGTTTGAGTAAGTCAAGGTGACTGTGACCTTGAGCTGTCTACAATAATTGCTTAATATGTGATTCTTATGGGTACAGTTTGATTTCATCTCTTTGGGATTATTCTTCTTGATTCTTAGGGACTTCATAAGGTTGATTCTAGTTAAACACTCTTTTTGCATAGTATTTCTTTGTATTCAAGAAACTACTGGGTCTGCATAGTTGCCTAGCGGGATTGTTGAGGTAATTTTGATTTTTGAATTATTGCTGAATAGTAACTTAGATTTTATTGCAGATAACTGTCTTTTTACTGCCGTTGGTGCATTTAAGGGCTGGAACTCAGGGATGTTTTGGTAAGCTCTACGGTGGAACGCAAAGACCTGTTTCTTGAGTTCAGACTACAACACGCTGCTTTCAGTCACTATACAATGGCTGACTCGTAATTTGGAAGCCACTATTTTTACTCATTACTCACCTACCATCACTTCAGTTTTAGTCAGTCCTCATTTTGGTGACTTGACGACAGTATTCTTTTGCAGATATAATTGGAACGTCTCTTCAACTTTTTAATAAAAATTCAAAGACTGTTAGAAATGACAGTGTGGGTCATTTCGTGTATTTGCTTGCAGAGAATCCAAAAAATAGTTCGGCGAAAACTTCATCATCTAACTGGTCAGTTTGATTCAGGTTATCATAACTTTCATTTTTCCATTCTTTAGGTTTAGAGTGGGAAATCGGCTTTGAATATTTGAGCTATGTAAATCCAGTGGCACAGACATCGCTTTTACAGGGTAGGGTTCTTATCTTCACGCCCAACTTTTCTTATTTTTGGGCAATCTGTTAGCCAGCAGACTATGTGATGTCTGAGAGTTCGTTGGCTGGTAACCGAACCCGGACCTCTTTATTTATTTATTTTTTATTTTTTGATTACAGCTTGATTCCACACCGTATTTTTGATACAGGTATGGAATTTTCAGCATTTGATATCGATTGTCCAAATTTGGTGGGCCAACAACTGATGTCAGGTGTGCGTCGGCAGGGAATCCAACCCCGGACCATGTGCATGATCGGCGAGAGTCATTATCGCTGTGCTACCGAAGCTGGGTGAGTATTCTACAAATAAATCATCAACCTCCTTAGGTAACAAAAACAGCTTAACTTTTTTAAAGATCAAATCAGACATTTTAGTGAATTTTCTTACTCTCATTTGGAGAGGTTTCATGAAATCAAATGATATAGTAGCCTGCACAACAAAATCAATTCTTTTCAGGGTTCCACACTGACATACTAATTTAGAACCACCAATTTTAAAGTTGAGCAAAGTGTAAATTCAGTTATTCCTTGAAAATCCGTATAGGATTAACTTCTTTACATGTTACTTTGGAGTCGTATAGTGAGATGAGTTAAGGCGAGTACATTCTCAAACTAATTTGATATTCACAAACACGCCACTAAAATAATGAATTCTAAGAACAATGACTCACACTTGGAGTACTTGATACCTTTCAAAAATAGTCGTCTATTAATTTAGTTTACAAAACTTAACAAACATTGCATATCTTACCTATCCATACTGATAGCTGCTAAGTTCAAGATAGAGGCTGTACACAAAAGTACATCAAACATAATAAATATATCACAAAGTACAGTGCCAAATCTCCATTTTCCATTATCAGCCTAGAAAATAATCCAAGAAAAATAAAAATCATACGAAATATTAGCTCACATTGCATAATAATAATAGTAATAGCTTTACTCTGAATGACGCTGATGTAATGGGCAGAATTTTCGGCGGAGTTTATTGCATGATATTCCCTCCTCATTCAGAACCTTCCAGTAAGAGATTAATTGACTGTAGATCGTGTAACGCAGTTCTCTCTGACTTGGAGAGCAAACTAATCCATTTTGTGATATCTTTCCTTTGTCGCCATCGAGAAATGCATAACATTTTGTTGAATGCTAATTATAAAAGGTTCATCGGGGCATTTTGTGAACCAAGGACACCACCTAGGAACATTCATCCGATTGATTGGAATAAGCTGACATCCAACTGGAGTATACTTCTTCCCAAGTTTCATAGAAACTTTCGAAAACCGAAGGTTGTAAATGTTTTAAATTCTCACCAGAGTAAATAACACTATTAGAGGTCATAATTTACTGGATTTAAACAAAGTTAATAAGAGAAACTAAATATATGCAATATAATAATGTAGATTTTTAGTTCCCCTAGTTTTGAGCAGGCTACCTAAATAATAATATCATTTACACAATAATGAAGGACTTAGTAAAAACTATACTATGAGTACTTGTAAGCTTTTATTTCCTCCTCACACCATCTTCTCCATGTCACTTTCAGACCCGCATCCAAATCGTTGCTTTCCATTAGAGCCTAACCTGACAACTTACCTGATGTCACTTGAGTGTTTTGTCAGCACATATGGCCAATTCGTCTTTATTTCCACCTGCATATTAAGCGAGACAGCCACATGCTGTTACCTGGTTGGCTGCCAGTGTTTCTTATTGCATATCATCTCTACCTGACCATTTAATCCTGAGTATCAGGCGAAGGTAGATGTTACTCAAAGTCTACAACAGGCTGTTGGAAATGGTTGTAAAGGTGTACAATTCAATTCTCTTAAGCATATAGATCTTATTTCTTGTACTTGCTAGGGCACTGAAGACCACAACATCAAGCTGATTTGAGAGTACTGAACTCTTGTTTCACTTTCATGACGCTGATTAGCTTTAACATCTACGGTCAATATCCAATGATTCCTCTTTTACTTATCGTGTTATTACTGCTACTTAACGTGACAGCTTTTAAAAGTACATCTCAAGTGAGGTACATTCAAGCTATACCGACTCATCTAGGTGGACTGAATAGCTAAAAGTTGAGTAAACAGACTGTCTTGTTTTTACAAAGTGTCTTGCTGATTTATGATTTCAATTTATTCCGAAAAAAACAGAAAAACTGATCAAAATATTGTCCAACTCACCTCAACCCAACTGGCTACAGGCATAACAATAATCGCCAAGCTGATATCTGCAATAGCTAAACTGACAATAAAATAATTTGTAGCAGTATGCAGGCTTTGATCTCGAAGAACACTCAATACAACTAACACATTACCAAAAACAGTAACCAAAGGAAAGATCAACAGTATCATTGCCCAATATTGAAATGGTTCATCCGTTTTTTGATAAAATGGTAACTGATAAGTTGGATCCGATGAGTTGATATTATTCAGTCCTGAGGCAATTTCTAATTCTCTCAGTTGACTTTGAGTTACTGCATAAGATGAGCCTTTAATATAAAAATCTGGTGGTCCATGTGGCCAATCAATATCTGTAAGATGTTGAATAACTAATTTTTCTGTTTCAGAATACATGAAATCTTTTGATATAATAAAAATGAGATAGTTTAACTGAACAGTAGTAGGTGAATTTCATCTATCGAATATAGTAAGTTTTTAAAACGCGCCAGTTGAATGTGACCGCTGAAATTGAAAAAAAAAACGAAAAAGAGAAGAAAAGCAATACAGAATAGATAGATGTTAAGGTTAGAAATGGATAGAATGAGTCTATAAGAGTTTATCCTTAAATTATTCATACTATATAATATAATACTCAGGAAGTTTAAACTTCCTGTGGAAAGAATCGTTTTGACATTCATTCCTTTGAAAGTAATATCCCATTGAAAAGCATCTGTATTTTGTTTAAAAGTAAAAAAAATTAATGTTGTTCTCTAAGCTGCATAAATAATCAGAGATCTATACTTTCAAAGGACATTTAATCGACTTTGTTTCTTCGCATCGAGTCGATAACATGCCGAAAATGAAATGCTTCATAAGTCAAGTATATAAAATAAATAATTAATGATCTACGCAAGATATTATTCACACATTGTTAGGTGGTCTAGTCAAATACCGGTTATTTTGTCACATATAACAAAAGATAGGGTAGAAAAGTTTTAGCCAGGATTATGATATTGTTCAGCAAGATTCATACGTTGCCTAAAAGGCTTTTTGTGCAAGAAAATAAGATTAGTTAGTAAAACAAACATACACTTTTCACTCAAGTTGTTCGATTCGCGTCATGAAACAATATCAGTTAGAAAGATCATTGAAAACCAGTCAGGAGCACTGGACATGTGTTTCCTACTTTTCTGGGATTCTTTAGCAGTGCGCTCACGCACAAACCCCCCTCACCCATGGATCGAATTCGGGAATCAAAGATTATGGGACCAAGCTCGTTTTCTCTTCAGGCAACCGCGCTGTAATTCAGTGATTCCTAAATCGGTCTACGAGCTCGTCTTGCAAACCGCTGAAGAGTCCTAGAGTAGGACGAAACGTATATCCAACATTTCAACTGGTTTTCCAATGGTTCTCTAACTGATGTCAGCCCATAATGAAATCCTCTAAAGAATCAAACGAAATCCCTACAAAAATCAATGCTTGAAACTTCTTAGTTTGTCAACTTGTGATATATATTGCTGCCCTCACAAACTCATTCGGTAAATATCTACTTCATCTTGACATGGTGAAAATCGGTGGTCATGATTTCCTAGTACAGCCTCATGAAATCCGTTCATCCAATATCCTTAAGTGAGCTAATGATTGATATTCATATCATTGTATTCCTGGGGATTTTAATCAAGATCTAACCGCTGAAATTAATCTCAAATCCCCAGAAATCCTGTGATCTGAATATACTTGGAGAGAAAACAGGTGAGATAGGGATATTGAATACAGTTTTATTTGCACTATCAGTATGGGGTTTTGTTTTCTGAAAAGAACCATCGAACTACCTAGCACTGATCGTCGAAACAAATTCAAGTTTACCAAGTAGCGAAAGATTGACAAACTGTAGGGGTCTCCAACCAGTAAAATCAAGTAAAGGCAGGCTCAAATGTTTCAACAGATACTAGCTTATACACATTACTCAAGAAGTCGCTCACGTGACTTTGGCGTCTAGCGCGTCTTGTCTTTGTGAGAATAGCATCATTCATTAGAATACAGGTACATGCAGCTAACGAGTTCTAAGTACGGTGGCATCAATTTTGAGGATTATTTGTTAGCTACCAGTAATCAGATAACATCAGTAGTACTATATCACACTACCGTACAATTATAAAACAATCACCGCTATCATAAAGTAGACCTTAAAGTCTAATTCGAATTTTGTTAGAAACTGTATTGTGATACAGGTACATGAGTTCTGATAATGACTTAAATGCATATAAAAAAGGTATAGTTAGGAAGAATAAGAGATAAAAGAAAATTTTTGTGTATCTACCGTCAAAAAAGATGTAGAGTCCAGTAGTTGAGTTGTAGTAACTAGTGTGAGGGATAGGGTGGATGTCACATAGAACTACACAAATAAATGGCACACGCTAGATGTGATTTCAGTGGGTGAAGGATTTGTGAAAATAGCTTTTACAGAAAAAAGACTAAGCGCTATTGAATGACTGTTGGAGGCGATCGACAGAAAGCCTTCGACATAGGTTTCGTGCCTTCCGGAACTCATCAACAAGGAGTATCTACAATCTTGATGGAAATCATGTCTCTTCACCCAGTGATGCAGTCAGAGACGTCACTGATGGGCTATTGGGTTTCACTACCGACCTTCTGTAAGATACTGTGACTAGATAGTATATGGTGAATAACCAAACGAAGGACCGGACACATGACATTACTTACTATGTAGTGTCCAATCTTACTGCTGAATGATTTAGAGACAGTTCAGTTACTCTGACTTGATTTTAAACAAATCAACAGGTATTCTGATAAAGTTTATGCATCTTTATGGAATAATGAATAAGGTTTATTTCAGGATAACTGAAGCGGTTAAGTGTATATAACAGTGGGAAAAAGTGTTACTACATACGAATATACCGCATGACCGATTTTCTTGATTCTCACTGAATAACTGTAGGAAATCAAGACATGAATACGTTGGGCCGACAAGAAGACTCTAAAAGACATGAACTTCCTGGATAATTCACAGCTAATATTATATTAGGTGGATAGTATATAAGGAGAAGTCATTGCATTACAGTAGGGTTGCCGAAAGATTTTGATCACTCTTCATGCGTTGGTGGTACAGTAGTTAGGACTCATGCCGATCATTCACATGGTCCGGAGTTTAATTCTCTGCCGACACACACCTAATATCTTTGGTCGGCCTGCAAAATTTGGGCTACCGATATCACATGCTAAAAATTCCATACCTGTACCAAAAATACAGTGTGTAATCAAGCTGTAACCAATTAAAAAAAATAAAAAGCTGTAACTTTCTAAACGAGTGTCAAGACAGTTTTATGCAGTGCATCTGATGTTTAGATTAGAGGCTGAGATAAGTTGAGAAAAAATAAGTCGTGTGTGTATTAAAAGAGGACTTAACCTGAGTTAAATGATAAGAAAAATGAGAGACAATCCAGAGGCCCGACAATTTTAAGCTCCATCACTTTGTGATATATAGTATGACTGCCAGTCACTATCATAGGTGAATATTGTCCTCACACCTAGACCAGTGAACTTCAATGTTCATAACTTCTCAGTACAACCTCAGGCAACTTCATTCTGTAGTCAGCTAATAAGCAGCATGAAATTGATTTTCATGTCTGCCAGTTTGCCATGTAATCTTAACGTCTTAGTTTTAAATCCCTGTTGGGGTCATGGATGCATGCTACTGTGGAATCCAAAACAAGAACTGGACAGATGTCTAACCGTACTCCCTGGTTTCCAGTGACATCTTAAATGAAATGCTTTTGTGATCAGATTTGAAATCACTCAAAACTCTGCAAACCAGCACTTGAAAAGAAGTCGAAGATTTTCTTAATCCCCTATTTCCTTCTGTTGTTCGATGCTTTTGTTTCGTAGTCTCAATTCGTCACTTCTTAAACAATTAACACGTCAAGGACATTTCGTCTACAGACAGTCTTCTCCTATGAACCTTTATGGCTGTAAGAACTGGCCATTTAGAGTGGAAGACATGAAAAGATTAGCTATCTTTGATCATATGTGGCTGCATTCTATCTCAGGTGTGAAATGGTATAATAGGGTAATCAATAATGAGGTTAGTCGTTGAAATCTAAGTAAGGAAGGGAAATCAGTTGACGAGGTTGTGAAGTTGCACCGACTGAGATGGTTAAGACATGTGTTAAGTATGCCTAGTCATCGCCTTCCTCGACAAGCAGTGTTAGCTGACATAGGGTCAGACTGGAAGAGAGCTAGCGGCGGTCAAACCAAAACATAGCCTCATTAGTCAATGAAATCTACAACAGTTACTCTAAGCCACGTAGGAAGGTGTAGACTTCCTGGTTGGGGTCCTCGGGACGGTAAAAACCAATGGTTGGAAACAATTGGTGATGTGGCTCAAAATCGTTCTCAAAGGCTGGCGCATATGCATCTACTCCTTGTGACTTAAAATGCCCTATAAGACAATATGGTTCTTTGATATTACTATTCATTTAGCTTCATATCTCTGTTTACTGTTAATATTTTGCATTTCTTTTTACTTTCTTCCCTTGCTTTGTGTGCTACAAGGACGGAGTGTGGCGACTTTAACTACTGTACATCGGTGCAACGTTCTACATTAAAACCAGTCACTCAGACAGTCAGTCTCCTATGAATACACATGACATTCTACTAATTGAATTGAAAAGTTATAAACTCAGACTGTTTTAGAGTCTTTGTACACAGATAATCAAACTTATAAGTTGCCGAGAAAAAATGATCTTGATTTGATTTTAAGGATTATTTAGATGCAAAATAAAGGAGGACTGATTTTTATATTTTGTTGGCCAGCGAAAGCAGCATGACTGGTCACTTATAATTTTTGATACTAAAATCTAGTAGAAGTTATTTCAAGTATATATATATATATATATATATATATATATATATATATATATATATGAAAAGAAGACTTTAGAAGACGATATATGTCTATTATCACACAAATTCGAAGATGAACAGAGTGAAAGATACAAGTTTTGTAGAAGAAGCTCAGTAATGACAGAACTTCAAGTGAACATAAAGAAGATGGAGGTGATGAAGATAACGGACCAATAGTTACAACAACAACAACAACCAGCATCAGTCACTACCTACGGAAAAAAATTTGAACGTCACCTCATTCCCTTATTTGAGCAATATCGTTCCAGCACCAAGTGATAGAAGTTGCATGGGGAACAACCAATTGGGTATTGGAGAGTGACATAGAGAAAGTCATGTGAAGAGGAGATAGGAACCTGTGGTCAGTCATGGAGCTAGCTAAAGACTACTGCGGAGAATAGGGAAGGGGGGAACAGGAATGTATAGTTGAAGCCTTAAGGTTCCCCTGATAACTTAGGGGAATAATATTAATAATAACTCTGCCTAAAATAAAATGTATGGCTAATACGAACATTGAATTCCCACTTATAAGTTTTCTAGTAATAAAATGCTTGTCATACTCTTGTATTTTGATTGACTGGTACTAAAACTGTGATAAG